CGGGAGTGGCGTCGGACACCGGCAACTGATTTCACCTACCAACTTGTTCCTGAGTTACTGTCACCGTCGGGAGAGAGGAGATCTTCTCTTTGTCGGCTGGAGGCGGTCCTGTGTTTTCCAGCTGCCCCAAGAGCTGCGGAGAAGAAAACACGCCGCGCTGAGGAGCAGGGACACGGCTCTGCCGCGCGGAGCACCGTCACGCAAACACGGAGCACGGAGAGCACTAGGTCCCAAAACCAGACAGCCGGGCAGGAGCCGCCCGGCACGGGCTGTCCCCGGGGGAGGCCTCTGGCCTGGTCCTAAAGCCCCTGAAGCGACAGGCATCGCCGGCTTCCCGGGCAGACCGCGCCGAGGCCAGAAACATTCCCGGCTGCCCAGAACGGGGCAAGCTCGGGCCGTTTCACCCTAGCTCAGATTCTCAGCGCGCAGGTGACCGTTCCCTCCTCTGCGGCACCGTTCTCGGTGTTCAGACCTTACTTTCACGCCTCCAATCTCGACAATCCCACTCCTAACGTCGTTGCCCTCCGGACTTTTTCCTTTTGCATCAGCTGAAGGGCTTGGGTGGGAAGGGGGGACATTGCCACGGGCACGGGAGAGGGTGCTAAGCTACTCCCGGAGGATTTTGAACCGAAAGGGGAGTCGGTAGAGGCGTTTTGAGAAGAGGGAGAACCTCGTGCCGCAGAAACGAGGGAGACCGAGCGCCTTCCGCCTCTCCCAAGACTTGACCAGGGTGTCAGGAGGAAAGAGGAGACCTCCCAGGGCCGTAAAGAGAAGCCTCTTTAGTCGAGTACCGCCACCAAACCGAGGGGCAGCCGTACCAAAGCCTGCGCTCGCGCGGGGTCTCTGGCGTCGAACGCAGGCTGAGCTCGAGCTGCAGCGGCGGTGCGGACAGCACCTCTTTCCCAGCGTTTCAGTTTCATGACTCATAGGAATTTTATACTGTTAAGACCTAGATTCACCCAGCAATCGGCTCAAATGCGTTCAAGCACGGTCAGGGAGAGCGTCGAGAGTCATTTGCCGGAGCCTCATTTAACTTTGAAGGCCACGTTAAGACGCCTGGGGTGACACGGACCCCCGGGGTGGGCAGGGCTGCCGCTCCGGACCCAGCGGAGAGCCGA